AAGTGCTACGCTGGCAAACTTGGCGAGATTTATTTTTTTTATTCCTCAAGTCGTAAATAAATAAGTAACAAGGAGCGTGTTGCTTGGCGGACATGCTGCAACGATAACGCAACAATGGCGGCTTGATTGACAAGTCTGCTCATAATCGTTGCATACGCACACGGTCATTAATATTGGGACATCTTGGCGGATTGACCTTCGGATTATGAATATCCGGTGTGTATTTGTGGTAGCTTAGGATTAACAGTTTTAGAGTGATGTAGTGATGTTGGGGTCATCCCATCCTGGACACTTAACGACAAGGTAGCAAATAAGTTGGGAACTGGAAGTTTTTCTCTATTTTCAAGTCAATCCTGTGAATTGTTTGCTTCCCGAAATGTCAAAAGCAGTCAAATGAGTTGTTCACGAGGCAGTTGCCGGTATCATTCCCCAGAAATAAAATTGGAAATCCTGTGCTGACTATGTGGGCGATTCAGTTGGCTGCCCGGTATGCTACCGGAAGCAACAAGAAGTCTAGGGAGGGCACATGTCGTCGGAATAATCTTAGCTTCCATTCCGTGCCCAGTATCTTCTCAAGAGCTCTTTTTAGTGAGGTTCACTAAGGGGTCAAAGGTTTTACTGGTATGATTTTCAGGTATACTATGTGGTCTGTGATGCGACGGTGACGAAATTCACGAAATATCCAGTGACAGTCACCTCGAGCTCTCGTGATGATATGGTTAAAGTCACAGGCAAGTGCGTAGCGAATGCGATTCCAGCCCAAAGTGGTGAGTCCAAGTAATCTTTCTGATCTGTAATCCCTCCTACGGTCACTCATTCAGAAGCACCAACTGGATTCTGCACGTCTACCGGCAGATGGAACCATCTGATCGGTGAATGTGGCTGCAAACCTGGTTATACGAGCGATTCGTTTAACGGAGAAGACAAGTGTGTCGGTGAGTTTCGAGGTTCACATTGAGGTGCCGGTCGAAATTGTCTCGTTACCGTCCTCTGAATTGCACGGCATCGTATTTCCCAAGAGGAAATTACCAGTTTGCGAAGGCCTTGTCGTGATGGTGTTGTTGTGGTAGGTAATAGGTATTGTAGTCTCATCCCGTAATGCGTATAGTCGGCACTTTGGCGGCGGCATACCAATACCAATGCTCCATGGAACAAGTAAAGGTCACCAAAGGTCTCTATTCTCATTCGAATGAGGAAATTTGATAATCATCATACTGTAACAGGTAATTTTGGCCCGTCTTGGTCACCGTAATGGACTCATCATCCAGAGGTCACCACGAGGCTATACAACGGGTTTATGTCTTGGTGCCTTAATGGAAGCCGCCGTTGTCGCAACCGAAAAGGAAAGCTCTGCGCGGACGGCAACATACGGAGATCATCATAAAGCAACGGCTAATTAGAGGCGGCTCAAGAAAACATGCCGCTTGCCTTCTTGATTATACAACTGTCGCCAGGGGGTGGTAATCGAAAAGTTCAGTGGGGCGTGAAAAGAGGCTGGGGTTGTTCCAACAGTGCAAGCTCGAACAAGGGCGTCCAGATAGTCCAGATTTTCCCTGGTAAAAACTAGCCGACAGAAATGTTTGTGCACCTGAGCAGTGCGTAGATTACGTGATAAGTATCTGGTGGGGGTGTTGACCTTGACGTAGACTGGGGAACTTTTCGGCGAAGGTGTTGTTTGAGCACGGATGGAATCTGAGCTTTTTTCAGACGTACTGGCTACTGTATTGCAGTTACTGTAGCTTGCTCAGTGTGAGACACTGTAATATGATATCATTTAGGGAGAACTCGGAATTCATTCCATCGATATCGTTAGAGTTCTAGGAGAATGTGACCGGACAGTAAGTGGGAGGATGGGTTACAAGGTGGTCAATGGTTGTAGGAGTTATTCCTTGATAGAGGTCTGCTTGTGGCTTACGGTAGAATCAATTTACAAAGCCAATTGGTGGGATCTATCCTTAAAATTTCTGCAATGATTACTTTTGATTAGCTAGTAATTGTACTATGACATAATACTGTTATTGCTGGAGATTGCAATTACTAGCCAATCTCGAGTCACCAGCCTCCCAAAACTGCTCCCAAGCATTTCCTTCGATTGGTAGTGTTGTGAAAGCCTGTAGGTAAAGCTCATGCCGAATTCCCAGATGTTTTGATAGTTTTCTCTTTGCACAGAGCCTTTGACAGCTTCCAGGTCTTGCCACCCCCCTAAAGAGTAATTCTGTGAATGCTAGCCATTTATCTTGGGGAAGTCGCTATCTGTCGTGTCTCAAGTGATAAACGAGAGTTCGTCGTGCGATGAGGCGATTTGCAACAAGTTAGATCTTCGATGGATGGGGTCCTAATTGCATGATGCGATTATCATGCCCACCCGATGGGGGTAGCCATCGTTATATTCAAATATTGTTTATGTATGTGTGCATACGAGGGGAAATGGTCAGTTGGTCGGCATCGTAAGAGGGTTAGAAGAGCGAGCGGAGGAGCAGGTGCGAATCGCATAGACGCCTAACAGACAAACGTGATCGTAATTGCAGCCGTGCCTGATCCATTTAGCTAAGCAAGTTAGCGGATTCTGTTAGCGATAATGACGTGAATGTGAACAGTAAGTAATTCCCCAGAACTCTCCCCCAGGGTCAATCTGAGCTAATCCGGACTTGGAGGAAGTCTCAGATCTTCAACGTATGATCCTCGATCCCTCCATTATCGAATTGTTCTAATTTCACACCTATCTTCGTTCGCCATCTACACATTCCATAAAGATTTTTTAATCGGCCGCTGCAGTCTTACCGGTTTGGTCATTCGTCCGTCGAAGTTCCTGCAGTGGAGAAGCTGTTTCTGCATAACGACTTCGAAGCAGAAGCGTTTTATAAGTCGGGGAGGATTTTCCGGGGGGCTTATAGATGCAAGAGCGTTCCCAGCACTAAATCTGGGGTACTACTCTTCACTGGACAACAGGGATTTGCAGGGGGATCAGTAACTCAAAAAATTCTCATTACTTCTTGTATGGACACGTCCGGAAGTGAGTGAAGGGTTCATGAGTGAAGAAGCTGATCGCTGGACGAGTTTCACAGGTCCTTACTCCACCTTGAGCTTGAGTAATAAAAGGTAGGTGGCGTTTTATTGGTAAGGTACTATTTTTTTGTGAGTCCTGGTGGTAATGAAGAAGGCTCCCGATCGGCTGTTGGATGGGTAGCTGCTGAGGTGTCCAGTCGTCACTGAAGCAATCTTTATTGCGTGATATTCGATGTACGACTCGGATAATGTGATGTGATCGGTGATGGATGCGTCAGGTAGTATATCTGGGCTGATCGTCTTCCGCCTGATACACATCTTCCCGTATTGCGGCGGTATTCTTTAAGATACGTCATGACAAATGACCACTGCGGTCTTTCTCCTCGTCGAGTGCAATCGGGCGATAGTTTTGACACTGCAGACTAGCCACCAACTGCACAATGCCAATGGGTTCATTTAGAAATGAAAATGTCACTGAACGAATGTTTGGGACCTCCGAGCCATTTGGGCACAGGGCTTTTTCCAATCAACTTGATAGAGTGTAATTTGGATGTGAACGGGCAATTCTGTCTCTCCAGAGAACGGCAAACGACGAGCTTTACGAGCGAGTGGCGGCATCGGGCGATGATGAGTGACCATTGAATGACGGCACCGATGCACAGAGGAGAATGTGATGGTGCCGTTGATGTGTGTGTGTGTCGGTGTGTGGGTTTTTTTAGCGACTGACTCCGAACCACACATGCCAGAATTGGAGCCGACATTTATGACAGGCGCAGTGCTTTGATCAAATGTATGCCGTGGCTAGGCGATGATTTTAATGCCAGCCGCAAGGTTTCGCTATTTTCGGCCAAGGTGGCAGAAGGTCGACGGTGGCAGAGGGCTGACGATACGATGGAGAGAGTGCTGAGAACGTAACAACGGACCGTTGACAGGTGTTTCATTTGGTTGCTTACCGGAATGAGCTGATCTCTAGTGAGGCGTGAAGCAACCACACCCGATCTGATGGTTCAGCTGGTCTAGTTGGCTTTGTAGCACCGGCTTTTAATTAGAAGGTAGAAAAATATGGGCCGATTCAATGGCCGTTGAGTGTTTTCATGGGAGGCGTGAATGGATCTGGGAAAGTGTTTTGTTTGAAAACTACTGTGAAAGGAGAAAAACTGGAAAATCTGCGTTTTCCCCTACACAAAAAAACTGTATCGGTTTGGAAGTATAGAGGGTCTCAGCTAAGTGTAAATGTCTGAAGAGAAAGGTGAAAAGAAATGGGGCATTGGAAGAACCTAACTTTCCCGTGGGGAACCGCTTCACATCCGATTGACTTTTTTCTTCTGCCCTCTTACATGCATCGCAGATCTTTTCGGTTTTCTGTTCGGAGGAATTGTCTCGAGGAAGGGAAAAGGAAAGAAAGGAAAAGTCAATGAGGTGAAATATCTTTCCTCATAGGGTAGACAATTTCCCGAATCAAGTGGTCCCTTTCATCGCTCCCTCCGAACCACCACACGTAAGTGGTGTTGAGTACTCTACCGAAACCGAGGAACATTTTTCCTCCATCATTCTTACTGCTTTCTTGGGTGACTACTCGTCAGTGATCGATAAAGCTTATCTCCTTTATTCGATATAAGGCAAATTTGGTCAGTTCTCATGAGCGCAACAGACCGACCAACCTGGGTGACCCGGACACATGAAAGATACACCGCCAGGTGTGTTTGATATGAGACGAGCGCTGGAGATTTACGATCCTTATATGTACCCGCCACGAAGGACTCCATGATTTATCGCCTATGAATGAAATGTGGTGAAGAGATGATGATTAGTCTACTGACTGGACAAGGCCATCATATCACACCCCACAATAGGAACGCCTCAGCCAAAGCCACCAGTTAGATGAATGACGCATAATAAGTTGCTATTTCAAGAAATTGCCGTTCGCCGCTTGTTTGTATTCAAGTAATTGCTTTGACGGATTGGTTCGAATTGGATTCGAATTTCATTAGCCGCTGTTTACTTTGAACAACGAAGTTTTTCACATTACTGCTCAGCCAGCCGGAAATGTCTAGTAACAATTCTTGTTCGCGCACTAGTTATTCGTGTGTGAAAGTACGATGACAATCGAGGAATGAATCACCTGAATGCATCAACAAAATGAGACTGGAATACTACGGCTGAGCGGCGATACTGATGCGCCGACTCATGCAGAGCGGCTCTCTTTCTGTCCAGCTCACAACCATTGTGTATTCTTTTGAGGGAAATCCGATTAGCGCCAAATCAACGGCTTTTTGCCGCGCCACAGATTTGTTTGTTATTTGAGACGATCAGAGAGGAGAGGGAAGAGAAGCGGCCGTCCGTGAGGTCGCCACCGGTCAGCTGCAGCATACGGTGTTTGGAAAAGCAATAGCGTTTGCGTTTCTTTCGGGGTGCGCGTCTCCAATGTTGGTGGGTCGGGTGGTGGGCCGCAAAAACAGTGGCCGAAAGGGTGCGAACTGTGTTTGTGAGCTTTGACAGTCGATCGATCACACTTTGCGAAAAGTTTCGAGCGGTACAGCGATGGGTGCAGCGGAATTGGAATACGGTCTGGTGGGCTATCATTGATGGTGAAAAAGGAGCACCAGAGCGGTTCCCTGCAGTCCGGGCTCGCTCAGAAGAACGCTTTTTTTCTTTCCTGCAACGCAGTTCTTGATCAATCAACCTTCCCTCACTTCTGAGTAGTGAAGTTAATGCCGCTCAACATCGCTTTTATGGCTTGCTTAAACTGATTGCCACCTGCCTGTAGAAAGTATGGTATGGTCGAAGATCGCTCATCACGTCTGTTGCGCACACCCGGCCAAGCGGTTGGAGTCTGCAGCAGGTGGTTGCCATCTGAAGACACCCGTATCCGTTATACGGTCGTCCACGTTGTTGCATCCGAATGCCAGAATTAATTACCGTCATAAAGTATTGATGGTTCTCTCTGTGTGCGAGAGAAATGCGGCGCTCTTGAAAAAGATTGGGTATTGGGGTCAAATTAGCTAATAAATTTCGTTCAAATTGAAAAAATTGTCTTACAGAATGCCCTGTTGGCAGTTACAAGAGCGAACGAGGAAACGCATCATGTCAAAAATGTCCGGCAAATTCGGAAGCCAGCCGAACGGGCAGCCTACACTGCACTTGCAGACCGGGCCACTTCAGAGCAGAAAACGAATCGGCTGATAGGCCATGCACACGTAAGTGCTACTTC